GATCAAAGACTGTAACATCTCCTATTCCCACCATAAAGCCCCCTCGCGGCCGCTTTCCTTCCAACAGTTTCCAGAATATTCTCTAAATCACCGCCCAGCAACCAGCCTGCAAGCCAATCAGTGACCTAGCACTGCTGATTGACAGGGATTTCCGACCATATATGCAGCAGAAAAACCCCAAGCGTTGCTGATTGACGTATAAACTGGCTGTACATTGGGCGGCTGCCTGGTGAGCCCCGAATGAGGTAAAGGGGAACGCCGTAGTTAACCAATGGGGCTGAGGGAGGCGGGCTGTCACTCCCGAGTCGAGGAGCGAGCGTAGTGTTGGGTGGTTGAGTTGCTGCAATGTCTGCGATCAAAGCTCTAAACCCGAAAGCGGAGATAGCCAGGGCCCAAGCTGCCCTAGCTGTTAATATTAGTGCGGCGCGAGGCCTACAGGATGTGCTCAGGACTAATCTGGGGCCGAAAGGGACCATGAAGATGTGAGAAGCCGCGGCCTAGTGAACGGAGCGAACCGGCAGCGATAACACGTGTTCGACGCGGAGTGGGGGGGGGGGGGGGGGGGGAATTGGGGGGGGGGTGGGTGTTGAGAGGTGAGGGGAGGAGGATGAGATGTGCTTGGGGAGGGTGCGGCAGTTGGGGTTGGAGGTGGGGAAGCTGGGTGGGAGCGAGAAAGGCGGGGAGAAGGGATAGGGCAGAGTGGAGGGACGAAGGAAGGGTGAGAGGGATGGGGAGGAGAGGATAATGGGGATGAGGGGACAATTGGGCTACAGGGTTGGATGGGAGGGAGGGTGAAGGTGGGAGAAGGGAGAGGGAGCAACGATGGGGGAGAGAGAGGGGTAGGCGGAACAGAGTTAGAAGGTAGGTAGGCAGGCAAAAGGGTGCAAGGAAGGAGGGAGGAAATGGGGACAGGACATGGGGGAGACTTTTGAGGAGACTCTCCTCAATTCTGGAGAAAGAGGGTAATTTCATTGAAACTTAAAAGATTCTTAGAGCACATGACAGGGTGAACATGGGGAGTCCAAAACTGACGTCATTTCAGGGTAAGGGTTCAATCAGTTAGATCCAATATGAGGAATTTCTTGACTCTGGGTGAAAAATCTTTGAAATTCCCAACTCCAGAAGTCTGCTTCTCTCCTGTCAATCAAAAAATGACCCATTTGTGCCACCTCTGTTCCTTGTGTGCAAATAATCTTCCATCTATCTTCACTATGTTACCCACTGTCTTTGGAGCTTTCATTTTCTGCAGTATTCCGAGATTTCCAGAAAGCATTTGACGGGATGCCATGTGCAAGTATAGTATATCTCACCAGTTTCCCTTTACCTACAGCACTTGTCACTCCTTCAAAGATCTTGGTTAAATGGGTTACACAGTATTTCCCTTCCACAAAACCATATTACCTCTCTAATTGTCTTGAATTTGTCCCCGATGCATTGTGATAGCTTTTCATATCTTCCCTGTAACAGATGTTAACCAGTTTTTGCCTTTGTCTCCCACCTTTTTTCAATAATGGAGGTACATTAGCTATCTTCCAGTCGACTGTAACCTTCCTCAAATGTAGAAAATTTTTGCCTTTTAAAATCAATACACAACTCTGTCACTAGCCACTTCTTCTAAGGCACTAGGACTTAAGCCCATCAAGGCCCTTGAGATGTGTCAACCGATTGCTTCAACAATTTTGCTCAGTACCAGTTCTGTAAGTGTTCATAATTTGATTGTGAAAAATTTAACAAATGCTGACAGGCTGAAATATACATTATTAGAACTCCCAGTTAAGCTGTGATCTTTTTGTCTTCAGGCTTGTTTCTGGTGCTGGAGATATCAAGCTTACCAAAGATGGTAATGTTTTGTTGCATGAAATGGTGAGTGTCATATAGTTTCTATAGAAATAATATTCGAGATTTGGGCAACTGTAGCTGCATGTTGCTGTATCTATGTGAAATAACTCCACAGAAGCCGGTATCCCATCCCCAAGTTACCCTTTCTTTTCACGTTCATGGTAAATGGATTCTGATGAGCTAGCTCAGAGCCAGTCCCTAGAGTAAGGAGAATCCCTGAGACTCCTGTTCATATCTGTCAGTCAGGACTGCCTGATTGACCCAGGTTAACAGCCCCAATCAGGGAACTCATTCAATGAGATCCACCTGGCCCTCATTCCAGTCGCTACATGAAGTCATTACCAGGATGCATATTTTGGGCATTGAAGCTTGGTCTCGATTGTGTCAACAGCTTCAACCAAATTCATCATGCCTTTTCATATCCGCTGTTGCTAAATTCTCAGTCTTGTGTGATGTGAGCTTCTGGCATTGTGTCCACGCTATCTATGTTTACACCTTTTGACCTTGAACTTTGCCCCTATCTGTGCTCCTGTACTGAAAATCTCATTCATGCTTATCTTGAGAGTTAACAATTCCAATGCATTTCTGTCTTGTGATGTTGAGGTGATTTTAAAACTTTACTAGCAATGTTTTACATTGCAGCAAGACCCATTTCCCTGCCACTCCTGTGCTGACTGGTCTTTATTGGTCCCAGTTCTCATCTTTTTTTGTATTCCTTTCTGTCCAAGATATAAACTACTCTCGTTCTGGTCTTGTGTGCTTTCCAATCATCATGGTTCTAAAATTGACAGATGTACTTTCAATTGTTGAAGCCCAAAGCACACCCTTCCCTCACTAAATTTTTTTACCTCACTTTCCTCCTTAAGTTTTCCCTACATCTTTTTACCAAACTCTTCATTTCATAACTCTTGCTGTGGCTCAGTTTAATACTTTATGTTGCAATGTTTAATTAACTAACTATGAAATTAAATTGTCATTGTAACAGTCTTAGTTTTTCAATTAATTCTAAGTTGAGTTGTTTAATGGCTGAAGTATTGCACCTCATCTGGTTGCATAATGTAACTGTTCAGATTGTTTTATTCTTTTTTTTGAGGGTGATGAGATGTGATTTTGTGGATGCTGATAGCGCCTTCAATTAGCAATGTAACTTAAGCTAATCTTTGATACCATTTCTATACCTGTACATTTTCACATTGTAAGGAATGAGAGACCTGGTTTTCAGTGACACCTATAATTGTTGGGAGCTGTTAACTGGAAAAGGTTGAAAAACTTGCACAGACGTTCTGCATTTCAATATTTATTTAACAAATGTTGGTTAGAATAGAAAGAGGTATTTCTGCTAATCTGACTGTCCAAAATAACAGGAATTGGCTTGAAATGAGAGCTAAGCCAATCAGGTTAAGTTCCAAAGGACTGTGGAAATCTAGGACACTTCATCAAAAAAAAACTAGGCTGTGGGTCAATTTGTTGAAGTTTTGGGAAAGTTTCATCAAGTAGTTGAAACAAAAACCAATCGACGGCCAATCTTACTCACCATAGTCTTAACTGTGTGATGTGGAGCTGTCAGATCTGACTGGGGTGGACAAAATTAGAAGTCACGGACACCAGGTTATAGACCAACAGGTTTATTTACCTGGAATTATCTTGCCATTGTCTCTCTGTCTATACATTCTGTGCCTGTGCGCATCCTTCACTTCACCTGACAAAAGAGCAGTGTTTTGAAAGCTTGTGATTTTAAATAAACCTGGTGTCGTGTGACTTCTGACGTAGTCAACTAAATAGTTGAACTGACTTCAGTTGAATAATCTCTTGATCTCTTTCTGATCCTTGAATGAGATTAAAAATTAAAACCTTAGTGGAATTTGCTATAAAGTATTATGAAGATCCTAATTATTCTGTTGCAGCAAATACAACACCCAACAGCTTCTTTAATAGCTAAAGTGGCGACGGCTCAGGATGACATGACTGGTGATGGCACCACTTCCAACGTACTGATCATTGGCGAGTTGCTGAAACAAGCTGATCTCTATATTTCAGAGGTAACAAATACGTAGCATGGTTGCGGTTTTATAAGTTAAAGTACTCTGGATGTGCATGTGGTGTGAATTTTAGCCAAGAACATTTGTTTGATTAAACTGCTAGTAGGACTGGAGCAGATGAAGACCCATGTTCGTTATTGGTGCTCCAGCTGTATAATTGGTATAGTTATAAAATGTATAACTAGGGTGACCAAGCACACCTATATTTCTTAACCTTTTAAATTCTTAAATGTATTCCTCCATTATGAATCCTGTAACAAGGGCCATAAAAAGACTAAATAGTATTAAATGCTGGGTTACTTTATGGTCAGCCGAAGAACCCGTTCCTGTGCTGTACTTTATTGTAGAAAGTAGGTCTGTGAGTCTGGTATCTTATATTTCGCAAGACTGCCTTGGTACATTGTTCCCATTCTACCACACTTCAATCTGTAGGTGTGTAGTGTTTTTATACCACTGCTGCAAGTTAGATATACATTTTTGCATTTAGACTTTTGCTAAGTTAAATTTTCTTTTGTAAGATGTTGGGACTGAGGAGGTAGATTTTGAGGAGCTTCTTGGGAGGTTTTTGAAAGGAACTTTCGGCTAGGAGAGGGTCGAGGAAGTTAATGGAGTGATTAACATTGACATAACAGGCCAGCAACAACTGTAGAGTTAGAGTAGGCTCAAAGTGGGGAGTGGTACGGTCAGGTAATGGAGGGATTATTAATCAAAGATGAAAAATGTGTCATGATGTAATTTTGTTCAGCAACATATTGAGAACTTCATTTGAGTATCGTGCCATTTCTTTTCAGGGTTTGCATCCCAGGATTGTGACAGAAGGGTTTGAAGCTGCAAAAGACAAGGCCCTTGAGATTTTGGAGCAGGTGAAAATAACTAAAGAGATGGACAGAGAGACTCTTATCAATGTTGCTAGAACATCATTGCGCACCAAGGTGCACAAGGAATTGGCAGATGTCTTAACAGAGGTATTCACATATTTAAAATTTCTTCTGAGCCTTCAGTATAGCATTACATTGTGCAATTTCTAATAAAATTCAACAGATTTCCATTGCTGTTTAAAATGAATTTCTATCATTTTCTTTCTGTCCTGGTTAGATATTGGCAAGTAATTGCCTCACGAGTGCATGACTAAATTCTGCATTAGCTCTTCTGTAGTTAAAGCAGCCAGACATCATGCTAGAGTATCTTCACTTACTTGATTGAAGTTGGTACTCTGTCCTGTCATGGCAACATTCAAAAGTGGTGAACACAAGTTTTTGTAGGTATGGACATTGCAAATCTTGCAAAGTTATTGATTTGAAATTGCAATGTTCACCTTCATAAGGCAATTGAATGTAAATTTGTCACAAAAAAAGCTCCTGGAGATATTGTGTCACCAACACTGCTAAAACGTAATTGTGATATGCCATAATTACTTGGCCAGCATTCCATATTAGGGGTGGATTTTGGGGAAATACTTTTTTTATTTAAAAAGTGACAAATGTACATTTTTAAGATGGGACTAAATTACATTTGTGCATCCTTTTCCAGTTAGCCTGTGGTCTTTAACTTGATGGCAGACGGGATTGTTTTGCTGTCTCTGATTCTTGGCATGAATTCATAGGTTGAGTAAAGCAATAAACTGTTTCTAACATGGTTGCATATTAATTGTGTAATCTCTGCTGGACATTGTGTTTCACAATTTAGTTTTAGTATAAGTTGAATATCCAGCTATATAGTGTTTGATCATTTTTAGGCTGTAGTCGATGCTGTGCTGGCAGTGAGGAAACCAAACGAACCCATTGATCTGTTCATGGTTGAGATTATGGAGATGAAGCACAAAACTGAGACTGACACAAAGTAAGTATTAACCTGTGAAAGCTGCCTCCAATGAGTGGCAGAATTAACTATTATGACCATTTTGTTGATCATCGAGGACCAACTTCTAATATCTACTCTGGCAGCAGTGGTATTCGAGAAACAAATTTTTTACTCATGAAAGGCTTCTTTTGGCTCTTGGATCATTTTTAAGTAGGATACTTTTCTGGTCCGCTTCTGTTCGCGGGCTGCTTGGTATGAATTTTGAAGTATAAAATTTTTTCGGGTTCCTCAAAACTGAGCTGTGGATTGTCTACTGTGTTATTTCATTCCTTTTTATTAGCACCATTGTTCATTATTAGTTTCTAACTTTTCACTTCTGTTTTTGCTAATTTCATTTTTGTCCATACAGTTCCTAATATTTAAATGGGTTTTTGTTTTATGTTCAGTCTTTGATTGGAATATGAATCCACAACTTTTCAGAGTTTTACAGCACAGAAATCGGTCATCAAACACCAATTTGTTGAAATTTCAATTTCCAACAATTGCCTCGTAACCTTTGAATTTCAAGCAAATCCCGTAAAAAGCTCTTAAATGTTGAGGGTTCCTACCTCTACTACCCTTTCAGATAGGCAGTTCTTTGGGTAAAAGTTTTTTTTTATTATGTATCCACAAAATGTCGAGGCCCTTGCCTTCAAGCTGCATCTCCTGCTTATTGACCCCTCTATTAAGAGCCAAATTTTATTCCTACTTGTCTGTTTAACCTATGTCTCTCTATGCCATATTAAATGTTCATGACAGATTACTGGCTATATTTGTTTGAATTTAGTTATTGTTGAGGAAAATGTTCCTTCAATGATTATTCTCACTCAAGTATTGATTGTAACTGGAAGTATTCTTTTTGCAGCCTGGTAAGAGGACTGGTGTTGGATCACGGTGCTCGTCACCCAGATATGAAGAAGAGGGTTGAAGACGCCTATATTCTTACCTGCAATATTTCCCTGGAGTATGAAAAAACGTAGGTGCAGTCAGGCATTGCAATTCCTGAAGTTGAGCTGAATCAAAACCAAGTGTTTTTGAGTCAGAGGCACTTATTTTCCTTGGATCAATCTTTTTGAGAGGAAGAACTTAGATTAAGGGTTATCAAATGTTTATAATGCAATAACATCGCTGATGGCAATGAGAACGTTATAAAACAAAAGAACTGTATGACAGCAAGCCACAAGAGGAGGTGTTAGGGCATTCACCCTCTGAGTGAGAGTGTTTTTCTCAAATCCCTGCTGAATCTCCTGCCCCTTACCATAAAACTATGCCCACTCATGATTGACCCCCTTAACCAAGGGGGACAGCTGCTCTCTATTCACCCTGTCCAACACCACCCTGCCCCCAAGAATCTTATACACCTCAATGGTGTCAGCCCTCCGTCTTTGCTGCTGTAGAGAAAACATTCCAAGGCTATCTAGTTTCCTAACAGCACAATTTCTCAATCCCAGTCTACATCCTGTTGACCTCCTCTGTACCCCTTCTACTTTTATCACATTCTTGCGGTGTTGAGGTGACCAGAACTGTACACAGTACTCCAGCTGTGGCCTAACCAACGCTCTGTACAACTCCAATATTACATCTTTGCTCTTAGACTCTATGCCATGACTGATGAAAGCAAGTTTCACATATGCCTTCTTAACTATCCTGTTCATGTATTCTGCTGACTTCAGGGCACTGTGAATAATTACCCCAAGATCCCCTTGTTTCTTTAAGCTACCCAGGGTCCTGCCATTCATTAAAGGCTCCCTCATCTTGTTCCTTCTTCCAGAGTGCATCATCTCACACTTATCAGGGTTAAATGCCAGCTGCCACTGCTCTGTCCATCTGACTAACATATCTGTATCTTCCTGCAAATTACAACCATTTTCTTTGCTGTTAACCACCCTACCAATCTTGGTGTTGTGTGCAAACTTGCTTAATGTTCCCTACACATTTTCATCTATATATTTATGTATGTAACAAACAACAAGGTCCCAGTACTGATCCTCATTATACACTGCTGGACATTGGCCTCCAGTCAATCGAATAGCCTTCTACCACTTCCCTTTGTATCTTCTTATTACACCAGTTTTTGATCCATTTCACCAAGTTTCTCTGAATTCCATGTACCTTAACCTTCTCAATCAGTCTCCCATGTGGGACCTTTGTCAAAAATTTTGCTAAAACCATAAAAACTACAAAAACTGAACTTTTCTCATCCACACGCTTGGTCATGTTTTTTGATAAATTCAAAGATTTGTTAGGCATGACCTTCCTGTGATAAAGCCATACTGACTAGCCCTAATGGCTTTCCAAGTGAATATTAATTCTGTCCTTCAGAATTTTCTCCAATAATTTTCCTCCAGTGACTTGAGAGCATTCTGTAACTTCCTTGTCCAGCTCTACCACCCTTCTTGAAAAGTGGAACCACGTTAGCCATCCTTCAATCTTCTGGAACACCCCCATACCCACCCCTATGCCCAGCCCCAACATGGCCAGACCGGGATTAATAATTTGTGTAAGTGCCTCTGTAATTTCTTTCCTCGTCTCCCACAGCAGCATGGATGCAATTCACCTGGACCTGTGGACTTGTCTGTTTTTAAGCCTGACAGAGCCTCCGATACCTCCTGATTTCCACTGTCAAACTGTGCAAGTTCCTCATGGTCTCTATTCCTGAATTCCATACCTGTGTTGTCCTTTTCCAGAGTGAAGGCTGAAGAGAAGTATTCGTTCAGCACCTTTCCAGTATCCTGCGACTTCACACGTGGGTTGCTCCCTTGGTCCCTAATTGGTCCTGTTCCCTTTTTAATGTATTTGTAAACTATCCTAGGATTCTCCCTAATCCTGTTTGCAAGTCCTTTTTCATGCCCCTTTTTGTTCTTTTAATTACTTTCTTAAGTTCCCTCTTGCACTTACTGTATTCTTCCAAGGCTGCGGCTGTATTGCTGCCTTTAGACTTGCTTCTCCTTTTCCTCACCATTCCTGAGTTGTCGTACACATCCAGAGTTCTCTGAACTTATTGCTCCTGCATTTCTCCCTAAAGGATATATGTTGGAGCTGTACTCTCTGCAGCTGCTTATTTTCCGCCCCGCCCCCCCAACTGTAGACCTAACTGCAAGAGTCATTCCCATTCAACTTTGGCCAGATCCTCTCTTATTTTAATTAACTGTGCCTTCCCTAAATCCAAAGCGCTTTTTATAGGCCACCTATTTCCTTGTCCATAATAAATTTGAGCTGTATCATGTTAACTTGTTCCCCCGCTGCCACGAACATTGAACGCTTGTATGGTGGCTTTTCCCGAGAACCAGATCCAGCACTGCACTATCCTTTGGGAATTCTACATATTAATACAAAAAAACTTCCCCCAGATACATTTCAAGAAATCACCCCCTCTAAACCCTTAACCCTATGACTGTCCCAGTTTATGTTGAGAAAGATGGAATTCCCTAGTATAATTACTTGAATATTATTTTTATACACCTCCAACTGTCTCTTTGCTGCTGACTCTTTGGAAGCCTATGATTCCGAACTTCTTACCCACAAAGTCTTGTTTGAGGACCCTTCCAAAATATCATCTCTCCTGGTTGCAGAATTGGACTCCTTAACTAACAGTCCTACACCACCGCCCTTTTTACACTCTCCTGTGTCTCACCTAAAGATCCTGGAATGTTGGATCACCAGTCCAGGCCTTCCATCAACCATGTTTCTCAATCCTTCCACTGATCGAGACATACAGCACAAGAACAGACCCTTTGGTTCAATTCGTCTATGCCGACCAAGTTTCAAAGAACAAAAGGAAATTACAGTACAGGAACAGGCCCTTCGGCCCTCCAAGCCTGCATCAACATGCTGCCCATCACAACTAAAACCCCTACCCTTCTGGGAACCGTATCCCTCTATTCCCATCCTATTCATATATTTGTCAAGACACCCTTTAAAAGTCACTATCGTATCTGCTTCCACTACCTCCCCCGGCAGCGAGTTTCAGGCACCCACCACCCTCTGTGTAATAAACTTGCCTCCTACATCACGTTTAAACCTTGCCCCTCGCGGTTACATTTTCCTCCAAATCATTTATATTATTACAAACAGCAAAGGTCCCAACACTGATCCCTGAGGAACACCTCTAGTCACAGCCTTCCATTCAGAAACAGACCCTTCCACTGCTACCCTCTCTCTTCTATGACCGAGCCAGTTTTTTATCCATATTGCAAGCTCACTTTTGACCCCGTGCGACTTTACCGTCTGTATCAACCTGCCATGAGGGACCTTGTCAAAGGCCTTACTGAAGTCCATGTAGACAAAACATCCACTGCTCTACCCTCATCGATCATCTTTGTCACTTCCTCAAAAAACTCAACCAAGTTAGTGAGACAGTACCTCCCCTTCACAAAACCATGTTGCCTCTCGCTAATACGCCCATTGATTTCCAG